GTACAACTGTGAAAAAGATACCCGATGAGCACAATAACAGCTTTAGTTTTAAGTTCTTCATCATCTCCGTTTTCTCCTTTATCTTCTCCTTATATCCTGCCTCCTCTGCTCCGTCCCCTCCCCTCACTTTCCTACCCTCTCCAAAAACCTTATCTTTTTTCGCAGTTGTCGTCGGATGAACAGCCTAAGGATAAAAAGGTCAAAAAAAATTTGATAGATAACCTATTTTCATTAGACAGACTTTTATTTTGCTGAACTATGAAAGAAATTTTTGTTTCATTACAAAAAAAAAAAAATTATGTTTTTTTTTTTCCACTTTTCCACCAATATTTGTTTGCTTTTGCTGCCCTAATTTCCATTGAATTTTTCAATTGTCTTTTTTTTTCAACCTCTCATTTCCTCCTCTTTTCTAAATCATCATCGCTTAGTTATTCAACATTTTAAAATTGATTTTTAATCTACCTTCACTTATACATTAGGTATTTTTACTGTTATTGCTGGTGCTGTTTTATACATTGTTCCCTGTCTTTTTTTTTTTGCGGTTACGCTTTAATTATGGCAAATAAATACGGTTACAGAAAAGAAATTTAAAAAAGTAATCATCAGTTGACAGAAACGTTTTATTATTTTATCTCATTCTTCCTTTCTCTTTTTTTTTTTGGAGATTAAAAAAATATAATGTTTTCGTTTAAAAGTGATTCATGTAATTGCAACTATTTTTACGCAGTATTTCAACAATTACAATGAACTGCAAGCAATTTTTTTCAGATTGATGACGACTTATAAAAAATGATTGAGAGTCGTCAATAAAACAAAGGACTACTGTTAGTTGTAAATTATTTGTAACCCAGGATTCTACAGGGTTAGGTTAACAGTCAGGGCAACAACAACGACGACACTATCAGTTGCAGTAGCAGCAGCATCAGCATAAGCAACCAGAATCGCAACAACTTTTGGATCACAGTATCAGTAAGCGGAAATAATTTATGACGACGATTCAATGAAATACTTTAGCGCTGTTTTAGCGGCACTTTGCCGTGCATTTGTCGACTATCTAATACAGTCGTATCGTTCGGCATCCAAACCGTTGTTGCTAATTCGGCTAATATTTGTGCTACTTACCGTCATTGTGTCCATTGCTACTGTTCGAGCAATTATTCATGGTTCAGACGATGATGTAAGTTCTAACTTTGCTATCCATCCTAAACAACATACACTTTTCTGTTAATTCCTTTTTTTTTTTTTTGTTTCTTCTTTCAAACTATCCTTAACTTCGGTAATGATTTTGAAATCAATTTTTCATTTATACCGCTCACATCCATATCTGTCAACAGTTAATTTTCATATAGGCAATTACAACGAAATCAGTTGTTTTTGAACCAAACTAAAAAAGATGGTGTTCCACATTGAACACTGAGATGGTGTACGTTGTTTTTTTGAAATACATATACCAGTTAATGGATACAATAAAGATTTATTGCATTTTCTTCATCTCCGTCTTCTTCTGCTCCTCTTTTTATATATACGGCTAAGATCACACACGAGAAAAAAATGGGATTTGACTGGAACTGTTTTATTGCCACTTTTTTTCCGAGATAATAAAGTTGATTATTTTTTATGCAACTACACAAAAAAATACCTACTGCTTTAAAATATTACGTTCTGTGCAAAAACAAAAAAACAGCCCAATTAGTTGCATCTATTATTTTATTTTGTATACCGCTGCTAATACAAAAAAATGGGAAAGGCTAAATCCAATTTCAACCTTTCAATTTATGGATCAATAAAAAACATTAAAAAAAAAGAAAATTGCATAAAAAATATTAACGAACAAAAAAAAATTAGGAGGATTACTAAAAACAAATCTTTTCTTTGGACCAATAAAATTATTACTATCGTCATCATTTTTATCACAAAAAGCAAAACAAAGAAAAAAAGAACAAGCGGAAGCTGTTTTATCAATTTTTATTCTTATTGAATCGCTAATCAACTTTTTCAACGATTCTTTTTCGGTCAAAAAATATAGTTCTGTTGCAGTGATTTCTTAGTACAAAATCATTTTTAAATTCTGTGTGTGTGTGTGTGTGTG